TTTTTAGTGGTCCGGGTTCTTATCACCCCCTGAAACTAGCCAACCACAGACAACATAACTAGTGTATTTTTAATTCACTCAGTTGGTCATAAATGTCAAAAATTGTGTTTTTCAGGTGGTATCAACAGGTGGAGATGGACTCTTGATTCTGGCACAGAGGGAGTATGAAGTATTAACCTATCGCTCCCTCCAGCCCAAATTTGACTTCTTGGACAGAGGAGTTACTAAACTAAGAGACTATTTCTACAGGAACCATTCTCTGATGCTGTGGGATGTCATTCAAAAGTAATTTATTTAAATAGGATTTCTTTATTCAGTGCTTTTAATTCTTATGACTGTAGATGTACTATGGGCATAATTCTTTGAGACGTTTGCATGTGAATGAAGCAGTGTATATAATTATAAAACTCTTGTATTATCAGACCTATTTCTTTAAGCGCTCTTTTTCCACTCTTAGTTTTGTTTCAGGAATAGTTTCCCTGTACTACAAGAGTGATCGTGAAGTTGAACAGGACTCAGAAATTCAGACGTGGATGAATGAGGTGGCTGTGGAGGGCTTTGTGGATGTGCCACATTTTGGTAAGATATGAATACATGACTGCATCATTGGACTCACAAATGTCCTGTAGTGGATGAAGAATATATTTAGAACCCTGTGCAGTGTATTTATTTAGGCTTGACAATATACACTACAGTTCGAAAGTTTGTGGTCAGTACCATGTTTTTAAAAGAAATTAATACTTTTATTCGGGAGGATGCATTAAATTGAACAAAAGTGACAGTAAAGACATTTCAAATGTTATTAATGATTTCTGTTTCAAATAAATGCTGTCCTTTTGAAATTTTATTTGATGTATCTTGGTTTCCACAAAAATATTGAGCAGTACAGCTGTTTTCAAAATTGATAATAATAAGTATTTTATGTGACACTGGAGACTAGAGTAATGTTTGCTGAAAATTCTAATTTGCCATCACAAGAATGAATAACATTTAAAAATATATTAAGATAGAAAACAGTTATTTTGAAATTGCAATAATATTTCACAATATTACTGTATTTTTGATCAATTAAGTGCAGCATAAGGGACTAATTTGGTGAGAACAGGAGACTTCTTTTTAATAAATCTTGCCGACCTCAAATTTTTGGACGGTAATATAAATCATCCTATACAATCATACCAAATACAGGTCACCAGTATTGAATTTTAAAAATGTCAAAAGACATCAGGGGGATGTAAATGCACATTCTACATGCCAGATACACCATTAAGTCAAGATAAAACAGGAAAAGGAAGTAATAAAGAACATAAAGGATAAGAATATAGTGCCCCCATGTGGTCATTAGAGGAAGAAACTTGCCCTCAGAATGGGTCTCATCACAATGAACTACATGAGCTAAATAAATGGCACTTGAAATTAGGAGTAAGCTAGGAGTAACTGTTTGTTTCTTGCATGTCAGGCCTAGCTAGTGAGCTGAAGACAAAAGAAGAACTCATCACACTGTTAAGCGTGGTGATCTTTACCAGCACAGCACAACATGCTGCCACCAATAATGGACAGGTAACTAACACATCACATCTTATCAAATATAAAAACCTACTTTTTCTACACTATATTGAATGCAGGTTACCAGAAACACAATCATTTACATGAAGTGTGTTACCTAAGGGTTAAAAATCAGTTTACACTGCATTACATAGCTTTATTGTGATCACTGTTGATCTTCATCTCTGTACTGTAGTTTGATTGGTGTGCATGGGTACCCAATACGCCCTGCACCATGCGGCACCCTCCACCAACAGATAAGGATGCTGTCACCATGGACCTGATCATGGACACACTCCCCGATATCAGCCAGTCCTGTGTGCAAATGGCCATCACATGGCATTTGGGCAGAGCACAGCCGGATGCAGTGAGTCAATAGCACAGGCTGTCACAACTTTTACATTATTTATGGTCATATAAAGTACAGTATAATCCATATTTATAAGTAACCTCAGACTATAAGCATTCAAATTAATTAGCCTTTAATAAAGTATCACAATGATGACTTCAACACTTCTCTGTTTTCTCTCTTTTCTTCAGATTCCAATGGGCCAGTATGTGGAACAGTACTTTACTGAGCCTGCTGCTTTGAAAGTGATTGATAAATTCAGAAAGGACCTGAAAGAACTGGAGGAGCATATAATAGCTCAGAATGAGGGACTAGAACTGCAGTACCTTTATCTGTGTCCAAGCCGCATGGAAAATAGCATCACCATTTAGAGAAAACGCTCATTCTACATTTATGAGTATAATTATGTGTCTGTGAACATTTTCGTGCTTAGGTCAGCTAAATCTTAAAATTAGCACACATTCAAATAACACCCAAAGTACCTTTCTTAGCTATAGCTGAGGCTAATACCTTTCTCCAGAACGGCATCCCTAACAGTAGAAATACTGTGACATAATTATGTAATTAATTTAGTCTGTAACATTTTTTTAAAAGAATCAGGGCATTAAGCTTTTTTACATTCAATTTTGTTAACAGTATTTATTTTTACTTTTGAAAATAGTTAAAACCTAAAAATAAAAGTCTTTTTAAACTTTATTTCATAAGGCACTGTTTGGATGGTACTGAATTGTTTTCTGTGGATTTTTACTAACCACTGTATTCTTAATCAATGTGGTAAGCTTCATAAAATGCACTTCATATATGCTACATATATATAGTACTTTTTTTTCCCCAGATGAAGACAATGAAACATGCATTACTGTTATACTTTTACCTAACAACTAGATGAAAAAACATGCTTTGTACATTCCATAGCAAATAAAGTTTGTTTCATTTTTTTATATCGATTGTTTAATACCATTTAAAACCTTCAGTAGTTAAAGTTTTGAAAGTCTCCAGTTGTACATCTAAAAAATGGTCTGTAATTTTAGAACCATGTTTACGGAGACAAGGTCTACACTTATCAATTCCTATAGTGACAAATTGCATAGGCAAAATAATTTTCAGTCATTTATTGTGAAAACAGAACCAATGTGACCATGTGAAATTCCATTGAACATGTACTTAATGAGACTGTATATTTGATAGGTGTGTTAAGTATAAATAAAACCACAAATAAATCATTTATCAGCAGTGTTTGGTAGGTCCACAGATCAAAATAGCACTATAGAAGGTAAAGTAATGAAGTACCACATAATAATAATGGGCAAGAGCACACATCTTATATTTGATAGGCTTCAAGATAGAAAGGCAATAAAGAAAATCACAGAAAAATGCATTATCCTATTCCATCCAATTATCTACATTCATTTAAGCGTCATTTTAAGGCACATGGAGCATTATTACATACAAACACAAGGGAATTTAGAGGTAGAGTTATACTCCAATCACTAGGTGGTACTAATGCACTAGATATTCCTTGCGCTTGTTCAGGCGAACCTGACAAAATGACAAGAATCCTATGCCTACATAGAGTACTGCTGCAATGAAGCAATTGTATCCAACTTGGTTGTACAATTTATAGATGTTTTGCAGTGCTTCCCCCCTGAAATGAGAGAAAAGAATCGTGTTTGAAAACAGCCTAAACACCTTTAACAGGACTGGACTACACTTTTGGACAGACTGAGGGGAAGTCTTGTGAATACACGTGACATTCCCTATGCTAGACAGACTTATTTTCCAGCGTAACTAAATGAGTAAATGGCAAAAGGAACTGACTTGAAGTCTTCCTCTGTGAAAGGTACATCCTCTATGAGCACAGCTGAATGTGTGGTGAAAAAAATCCCCAACATTGCCTAAGAGAAATAAGACAGAAAATGTTGATTATGGTGTAGGGCTGTATTTCTCCCTTCACTGGCACTGTCTGCTAGTTTTCATATTCAGTGTCCCCACACCTTTATGATTTTCACCCCCATGACCTTTCCAAGTAGTTTGTAGAGACTGGATAAGGATTTTCAATATCAATATTTTTATAATGATAGGCCTCACAAAGAGCAATTTCTAGCTAAATGAATAAATACTTTAGCTAAAATTATATTGACTAGACATTTCCATTACTTTTCCAGGCCTGTAAATCTAACTTTTATACTTCCCTGATATTTCTAAGTTTTCCAGGACAATGAGAACTGTGCATTATTGTTGACATTATGTGTGAAGGCAATTTATTTATTATTACAGATCCCAAAAAAAGTAAGATATGCTTAATGTATTTTAATGACCTTTCAGCATGTATAAACCATGTATAGGAAACACAAGAATAGTGACACAATAGAGAATATTTAACTTACCAGCATAATGACACCCCAAATGCTCAGGACCAGTCCACATGCTGCCAGTTTAGGACCGCAGAAAAGCAAAGAAGCCATTTCTATAATAGAAGCTTTTCAGCTACTCAGAGATACCAGAGGACCGTTTACAAATAAACTTTATACGACCGTTATTTGAACTTTTAGAAGTAACTTTCAAGTTATTTTGGCCTCGGTAAGATCGATGTCAACAGTCACCCGATTAAATCAGCTGACTTTAGAGGAAGCGGAAGTACAGTGACTCCCGACTCGAGTGCAACGTCATAAAGAGTTTGAAACAAACTTTAAGCAATAAGCACTTCATTAATATTCAGAGTTCTGTCTATTCACAACAATCTAGCTCTATTGCAGTCATCTTTTGCTTGGTTTATTAGACCAAATAAACTGATAAAATATAACACCAGCGACCTGATTGTTTTGAGCATTGAACGTTTATATTCCTTGAGTTATAAAGTTATTTAAAGGATGTTTTGTTTTCAGCCTAGCGTTAATCTAAATGTTCTTAAACACAAACCCTGCAGTTCACTGATGGTTACAGTTTTGCCGTCACAAATTAGGCATGTTTAGACTTGTTGACATTTGACACCTAAACCCAAGCGGTTTTCTTTTCATGTTAGAAACAAACATTTTGTGCAACCATTTTTAGGAGTTATGGACAACATATTTTAAGGATTTATTCACTAATCTTTCGTAATAATAGAAAATGACTGAAACTGGACACCTGAAGTGGTTACTTTTTTCACTTTTTGCTCATTCTCCTCCCTTCACGTTCTCTCCCCATAACAAAACGTCGCCGAATTCCTTTAGTTTTTGGCTGTCTGCGTTGAGAAATGTTTAAGGAACAAAATGTTGGATTGATTGAATAGATGAAAGTCAATACATATAACCCTCTAAAGAACGTAGTGTAAGGAGCGGAAAAGAGATAGAAAATTCATCTCCATGGATGAAAAAGAGTGAAAAGGATAACGTAGAGGAGGAGGAGGAGGGCGCGTAACGGGACAGCACGGAGGATAACAAGTTGTAAAGTCCAAGAAAACTATGGTAATGTATGATTTTTGACAGCAGGGCATAATTTGCAAACACATTCCACCAAAAAAGTAAGTATACCTCTAAAAACTAAGCAATACAGCAGTTTTTAAGATGCATTGTGTCAGTGCAATACGTGGCCAAACGTGATAGCACACGGCTACATCAACATACTTTTAAATAAGTGGAATGTATAAATTACGTAAAATACGGAAATATTTTCATGTTTATGATTTAAACCTAATTTCCAAACCAGTCAGTATTTGTTAAGAGTTAATGTTTTGGGATATTGCCGTTTCTGAGGTAATACAGAAGATGGCCCCTCATGTTCTGGATGTTGTAACGTTTCTAGGGGAAAGAAATTATGAAATGTTTCGTCCATATTCTGTGAAAGGCAAACAAACCCCAGACGTTGCATGACGAGCTGTTTTACTAAGTAAAATGTTACTAGTATCAGTACACACTAGCGTCTAATATTTAGGGACTAGTGTTTGTTTTATTAAAACTAAGAACACTGAAGACATTGGTAACTATTTTGAATTATTAAAAGTTACAAGAATAAGTAGCCTACTAGTACTTAATAAACAAATACTAAAAACGGAATAGGTACCAGAATTAATTGAATACATGGTCTGTTGTGATATATGAACCACAGAACTCCATAGAATTGAATCACCATTAGTACTAGTAGCAAATAAATAAAAGATAGTATGTACTAGGGTCTCAATGAATAATATTAGTGAAACTGAAAAAGGTACTAGACACTAAAGTACTGTATAGTATAATTATACACTATAATTAAAAAGTACTTTATAGTACTGAGTACTATAAACAAACATAGGTACTAGTTCATTTTAAAGAATAAATGTTAAAACAGTTTGCCATATATGGGTTAGTCGGTTCTGATCTGATGATGCCAGTTTTTATTATTATTATTATTATTATTTTATTAAATATATTGTCTTCTTGATCCTCACTCTTATTCTGTCAGGGACCTTGAGAATGGATGGAGAAAAAGAAAAAGAGCTGGAGAGAGGAGATGAAAAAGAGAGTGATGAGACAGAGGAGGATGCAGAGGGGGCAGCCTTATTATGGCACGAGGGATACCCTGATGATGAACTGGGCTTACCCATCATGCACTGGGAGGATCTGAGTCTTCGTATTGCTGAACTTGAGAAGCAACAAGAAGAGCGGAGACAGAGGGAAAAGGTCTGAATGAAAGTAAAGATAGTAATGTGCCTTAAATGGTAAAAGATTAAAAAAACAGATGACACTTTGTTTTGGATTGACAAGAGCTACAGTTCTTTTGCTAGTACAGTCCTTGACTATTTATTTACAATAACGGCTGCCATGGATTTATACAAAAAAAAATAAAAAATTCTCTGCAGGACTTGGACAGGCTGACAGTAGATTGGCCAGAAATCAGAGGGCTGAGCAGTCACAGAGAGCCCTGTGAGGACATGGAGGACGAATGCAACAGTCGTCTGACTGCTCTGACATCAAGGTCACACAGATTTAATAAATCTCAATTTCCTTTCTTTCCACTTCTTCAGAATTTGAATAAAATCTATAGCAATTGTGCTTTATTATACTAGGCTTCAGAGCCAGATGAATCTACAGCTCTGCTTCATCAACAACAGTGAAAGTGAAGAGGAAGAAGAGGAAATGGAGGCAAAGAAAGAGGTAAAATAAATTGCAGTATTGCCATTTTCACTGTTAGTGGAAGTGGGTGGCAACATACTGTAATGTGAATAATGTGAACAACTTCAGTGGGTGTAGTGCTCAGATGGATCGAGATAAAGACATACATTTTTGTTCATGTCTGTTTAATGATGAGATTTATACTTGGTAAGATTAATAATTGCTTTTGTTGCACTCTTTGCTACCTTTTCAGGTGGCAAAACAGTCCAGTAAGAGTGGCAGCAATCAGAGGTTAGAGAAAGAATGTGGTTCAAGCTCTGCATCGACAAAGAAAACCAAATCAAGAGGGTTCAAGAATGATGTCAGAGCTGCACTGAGTGTACTCAGACATAAATTGAGATTGGAGCAAAAACAGGTTGGAACAGAGCACATATTCATGGTGTCGTGTCCTAAGTGTGCATTTCATTTTATGTATTTGTTAATTTCAAGAAGCACATCTATTCAAATAGTTAGGTATTAGTTTGTATTAGTTATGTAAATGCCATGTTCTGCACATTACCATTCAAATATTAGGGGTCAGTAAGATTTTTTAAAAAGAAATTAATGCTTTAATTCAGCAAGGATGCGTGAAATTGATCAAAGGTGACAGGAAAGACACTGAAGACTGGAGTAATGGATGCTGAAATATCAGGTTTGCCATCACAGGAATAAATTATGGTACATTTAATACTACAAACAAATAGGAAAAGTTTAGATTATTATTATTTTTTATTTTAATAATATTTCAGAATATCACTGTTTTACTGCATGTTTGATCAAATAAATGCAGCCTTGGTGAGCATAAGAGATTTTACATTTTAAAAGTCTTACCGACCCTAAACTTTTGAATAGTTGTGTATATATATTCAAAGTCATAATTGCACTCCACTGACCCCCATCACAGACTATACCTCCCAGTGAGGCTGTCAGAGAAAGGAAGCACTATGAACGAAATGACTTAAAGAATTTCAGCTTGAAGGAGTTGAAAGCATTGAGGACCTCACTAAGCAAAGACATCCATGGTAAGCCAAAGTATTAACTGTTACATTACATTGATGATGTCTGTTGTGAATAAATAAGCGTATGTCTGTGTATGTGTGTAGCCCTCAGTTCAGAGCTGGTGGGTCGACTTCTCACAAGGGACCAGCTGAGAACAGAGCAGGACGCCATGCTGCTGGAGGTACAAGATATGACATCACTCTGATGCACAATCAAAAAAAAAAAAGTATTTCCACTAAGGAACAAAATGATGGGACCCTTCCTTTACAAGACTGTCCATGAGCTGCCTGAACTAATTGACTTTACTGTGAAAAGCTACAGCACTCCATCATCACTTCGAAACCCTTTACTGGTTTTTATAGTTTTTCATTTCAGCTTTTTTATGGACATTTTTAAGGCACCGATGAGGATTTAAAACTGCAGTTTACACTCTTACAGTTGCAAGATCAAACTGATAAAGCAACAAAGTGAGAAAAGGCCACATTCAAAGCAACAAAAGACAATTTTTTGCTCAATATTACTCTAATTTGTTTAGTGGCAAAGCCAATTATGCCAAGCCTCACATGTTAAGACATGGCTCATTAAATGCTACAAAGTATGTGTGTGTACATACATTGCCAAGCAACTCTTAACTGGATTGTTTGTGTCACTGTTTGTGAAATACTTAAATATTATTTTGTGGAATAAAAGGGAACTCAAAACGATCGTATATGTGTACTGTTTTGTTGTAATGGTATGTTATTGCTCTTCTGTTGTGTGTGTCTGTGTGTATTTTGCCTAGCCAGAGTTTGTGTTGTCAAAAGGCCAGCTCAGCACTAATAGAGGAAAGAAGAAAGAGGGAGGGACAGATCATGGAGCAAGAGATGACCAAGGAGGGTTGGATTGAGAGAATGGTCAAAATAGTTCAAGAAACTGATGTGAAAGGGAAAGATTCAGGGCTGCATCCAAATCGTCTTTGATTTGCTCTTCTGTATTTTCTTCTTGATAGTCAAATTAGCTGTAATTGTTTTCAGTGTGGGAATAGAGGCATTCCTCAGGTTTTATTTATAGGCTACTGAGACTCTTAATTTTTCTAAAGAGAACTTTATCGCTCTACTAAAAAGGTAAGTGAAATATTTTTAACAGCTCGTGACCAGATGAAATAGCTGTTTTTCACTGTCCTTGCATAAGTCAATGGTGTTTTACAGTTTACACATATTTTGCTTTCCCAGAAAAATGTTAATATGTATCTTGCCTATAAATATTCTTGTGTTTTAGTCTCACTATTAAATAAGTTTACAGCTATGCATGGCAGTAAACTCTTGCAATATGTAGGCAATGTGAAGGGTTGTTTGCACTGTTTATGATGTCTGATTCCCCAAGGGCCGTGTTATGTATTTAGCCAAAGCAGACTACCTTAATGTCATTTAGTGACCTTCAGATACTGACTGATTTATTTACATAGTGTCTTATATGTCTGAGAAGTGGTAGGCAATAAGCAATTCACCACAAGCTCAGTCAGCTGTGTGCTAACTTTACCGGGAGGTGGGGATAGCCATGACATCCATAGAATCCCAAAGGATGTTTAATGTGCAAATGGATCCAAAGGGAGTCTAGGCGTAGTTTGACAAAGGCTGACTTTAGGTTTCTAAAGCCGGCAATTACATATCGTTTATATTTGTTTCGAGGAAGAGAGATGGGGTAGAGAGTTCTGACGTGAGGGATGGGGTAAGGGGTGGGTAAGATAGAATAGAACATAGAGGGGAAGTGTGGTTACTGTTTGATGGGTTAATGAAGTGAAAAGGGTCTGAATCAGCAGCATATATACCTATGCGCAAACAGTACCGGGGGTTGTGAAAGAGAAAGGGGGATGCGGGGAGGGCCTGTGTGGGATGACAACTGCTTTTATAGGTTTTGAAAAGCTGGTACATTTTGTGAATCCTAAAAGCAATGTATCTCTCTCTAAACTAGACCAGAAGGAGGGGATCGCTGGAAATTCAAACTAATTTGTTTATTGGAGAAGATGTGGTTTCAGAGGCAAAGAATGGGAGGATGAAACAACGACGCCCCCTAAGAATCCGAATAGGAACTAGCCGACAATGACGAGTGTGCCTACTGTTTTGTTTGAAACCGAGAAGGGGGCAGATGCCCAGCTTTCCTCCTCACATAATTCTTCAGTTACTGGCTCCTGCAATATTGATGAGTCCTACAAGTACATCTTCCTGCCCATTTGCTACTCCTTTACCTTTGTCTTCAGCATAACCCTTAACTTTGTAGTTCTCTACCGTTCCTTTCGATGCACCAGGCACTGGAATGCTTCCCTGATTTACATGGTGAACCTGGCCACGACAGACTTCATGTATGGTTTATCCCTGCCCTTTTTGGTGGCCAGTTATGTCATGCGGGACGACTGGGTGTTTGGAGACTTCATGTGCCGTCTAGTGCGATTCCTCTTCTACTTCAACCTCTACTGCAGCATCTTCTTCCTCACTTGTATCTCAGTGCACCGCTACCTGGGCATCTGCCACCCCATGAAGACCATCACCTTGGAGACCAAACGAGCAGTAAAGGGGACGTGCGTTTTGGTGTGGATTGCTGTTTTTGCACTAACATGCCCAATTTTTCGTTTTGCACAGACTCAGTATCTTCCACGTGAAGGTAAGGGCTCGAGGGAGGAGGTGTTTAATAATTGCTGGGACGATGCAATTGATAGAGAGTTCCATGATTACATCCCTTATGGGGTCACGCTTCATTTCTTAGGGTTTTTTGTGCCATTTACCATCATTGCCTGGTGCTACTCGCAAGTAGTGTTAACAATATTTCGGACGCTGCACTCTCAACCTCCTCCTCAAAGAGTCAGAAGTGGGACGGGCTGTGAAAGTGTCGCAGGGATAGGGGGAGAGGGCATGTCAATCATCTTGGGGGCTCATTCGCCCTACGTCAACAGGCGGCGCAAGTCCATCAAGACCATCATTACTATCACTCTCCTCTTTGCCCTTTGCTTCTTCCCCTTCCATGTCACTCGCACAATTTTCCTACTGCTGAAAGTGACGAGTAGGGTGCAGTGCCACACCATGCGCATGGTTTCCATCTGTTATAAAATCACTCGGCCGCTGGCCTCATTCAATGCGTGGCTGAATGCACTGCTTTATTTTCTTACTAAAGAGAAAAATGTGCCCTGCTGTCAAAAACCTGAACATGCCCAGCATGGCCTGCTATGGCCACTTAGAATGCTGGGAAAAGGAGAGGAAGAGGAGAATGAAGTTGAGGAGACAAGGAACCACAAGGACAACGGGTCAACAGGAATGACCATGTAAACATGTGACAGTGTAGAACATCAACAAGTGAAACTGGTGGACCTGCCTTTGTATGGGATTCATTTGAAACAAACTGATGTTTTTGTTATATTCTCTGTATTTGTATAACTCTGTGTATTCACATTAAACATGGAGGATCTTGTCGTTTTGTCTTTTCAAGACCCCTTACAGATTGTTTTACTTGTTGATTGCTTGGATGGTTAATTAGTTATTGTAAAAAAAAAAAGATTAAGTTGAATATTGATTTAGTGTATATTAATTGCAAAAACATATTTTAGAATAATAAACTAATTTCTAGGTTGTCTCATGTTTGCAGTTGTTAGCATACCTCAGGGTGGACACATTTTGTGCAGGAACTATGTTTAGCGCTGTCATGGATTAATATGTCATGTTGTGAATAATTAAACTGTTCTAATAAACATTTTCTGAACCTGTTTAAATGAAAATCAAAATATGGCTGTGATCTTTTAAAATCACTATACATTATTAAGCACTATTCTCGATTTGTATGTCTTTGTGTGAGTACAGAATCTAAATTTGTTGTAGAATAAACTTCTTAAGGGTCGAGGTGTCGGCTTAGGCATCTTGTTCACATTATATTTCTTTTAAGAGTAAGAGGCAAAAGAACATTACACATTTTAGAAAATGCTGATCATTTCTACATACACGTCTGAATTGTTCATTCATTTAACATACTTACAATGACCTTTTTCCGTAGTTGTTAGAAAGTGTCAGTCCAGCTATTTATATATATATATATATATAAATCCCCTTTTTCATACATTTATATTGTATATTACCAGGAACCTCACTTTGTGTACTTTCTAAGTACACTGGACAAGAGTACATCAATATACAGCACAAGCAGCCTATACCCTTTGTCCTTCCGTCTTTCTAAAATAAGTTAAAACCAGATGATCCACGAAAGACCTCAGCTACATAGACTGTTATTACTTGGTATTACATTGGTTAATGATAAGCTGTCCTGTTGCAAGATTTCCTGAACCAAAGGAGCCTGTATAAATGTAAACATTTATATATGGCAGTAGTGGAAGAATGCATGTTATAGATGAAATACCTTGTCAGCATAATAATGTAACTCGTTTTGTTCTTCTAAGATCTCAGTATAACGTACTTTATATGATACAGATACATGCACGATGCACAGATCATGTATATTGAGTATCTAAATGTTTGAATATGGAAGAGATTTTTTGCCTAGATGTTGTCTTAATCCATAATTCAGATATTGATTTTTTTGCAATAACTGCAGACACCCTGGAGCAGTGACAGAAATTATTATTATAATTATAATTATTATTATTTTTATAAGATGCAATGTTTATTTTCTAGATTTTACCATATAAAACACACAGAATGATGTTTGTTTCAAATACCTCAAATCCATACTATCCAGAAATAGAGTAAGGTTACTTATATATATAAATATCTGGTGCATTTTTGTGTCATTTTTGCCACAGGCTTCTGACCCTGTCCTGGACATTATATATCGGGCTCTGTGTACTCTTCTCGTAATAATATGTTGCTAGATTTGTAAACTGTAGTAAAGTTAAACAGTGTGTTCGATTCGTCAGGCAAAAAAACAAGCTCAAGGGGGCGACATTGTGGCCATTCAGGATTTTAGTTTGGAAATTTAAAAGAAAACCTTCCCGACCTGCACCGCGGCTGAGGCAGGACCTGACGGTTATTAAAAATTATCAAAAAATAACTATAAATTATAGAAACAAATAATTAAACAATGGATAACTAGAATAGCTTATGTTAACCAGCGTGCAACATATCCGTTTGTGAAAAAAAATATTTTTCACTGAGGAAAATTTATATTTATTTTTGTATCTGTCCCGTGTCATCACAGTGGTAGAGCTGCAGCAGTGGAACATTGGCGCCATTTTCAAACTTCAGAGCCTCAGTGACTGGAACTCTTGTAACAGCTACATTATTCCTCATTATGATTTTTTTTTTTTTCAAATTCTTTCCTCAAGACCCTTCATTACTTCACTATTATTTTATAAACATTTGGAACTGGAAGAGTATTTTCATGAAAGGTAAGTAATTCTTACTCCTTTATTTATATAATTATAATAAGGTTTTTGTAATCGATATATATTTTTTTTACAAGCTTCGTCAAAATGTGTCCCCTTTATCATTTATTATTTACTGACTGCGAGTTATATTTTTTATATAAGTAACAAACATGTAGCTGTGAATACAAAGTAATGGTACTTTCACAAAACATGTATGTTTTATAGAATTACAAGGCGTTGGTAACTTTATATTTGTTGTTTAGGGTACTTTTCTTTTGTGTTTTAAATAAAAACAAACATACTTCCTTACTATCGTTAAGCGGACTACCTCCAAAACGTGTTGGAACCCGC